GCACAAATCTTAGTCTGTCATGAGACAAGGTCCCTAAAACTCGAGGTGAACTCAACAGGCCACTGAGAGTGACAGTGGGAAGCCTTGCTTCCTGTCCTTTCTGACAGCCCTAGTCTGGAGAGTCTTACCCAGTGACACTACCTCCTGAATGTGATGTCCACACTGCTGCTCTCCCTTGGACTGGCCTGCAGTTCTCTATGCCCTGCTACCATCTCATACACTTTCCTAGCTGTACTCTCAATATATAGGCTCCACTGAGGAGATGGGGGCATCTCCCATTCTCAAAGCTGATAGAATACTCTATGTAGTCTTATAAAATGTATCTTCTACCTACCACCTTGGAACCCAAAGACAGAATCTATTTTCTGATTATTACATACAGTAGGAAAGTCTTAACCCATGTTATAAAAACAAAGTCAATTCTGCAGGTGGAGTTAGTTACAGGAAAGATCCATTTGTATACTCTACTTTGCTCCTTCTAATAAGACTTCTTAGAAACAATTTTAAAGTCTCTCTGACCTCTAACATAGTACCATTTCACATCAGGAGTAGTGGAAACACAGTACTCCAAGGGTAAGACCCAGCTGACTCAAGTCAGGCTGGGACTTCCATTCCTTGGTTGGAGTCATTGTTCATAAAAGGTCATGTGAGCACAACAGCACAATGAGGGTGAATCTTTTATTTTGTTTTGACAAGGCCTCTCTGTAGCTTCAGCTGGCCTAGATCTTACTATGTAGACCAGGCTGGCCTTAAGCTTACAAAGATTCACCTACTTCTGCCTCCTAGCGAGCACCCCCATGCCTGGGTATGGGGGGTGAATCTTAAGGCTTTTATTCTAGATATTGGGATGGGAGCATCTTTCCCATAAAGGTTTAGGAAGAGGTAAGCACCTGGTTTTTCTATTCAAATTGTGATTCTATCACAAAGGGACTCATATTTAGAATAACATCAACAGGAAGAGATCTTTAAATTAACTAAATGATAATTAAACTGTTCCTTAATAACAACTGAATCCCAGTGTTAACCCTCAAAACATGCCAAAATACACCCTAAGCTCCGTCATTGTATATCCCAGAGCCAATAAATCCCCTCTTGGCTTAAGGAAGTTGAATTTTTATCATTGCTCTTAGCTTTTTGTAACTTAAGGATTCAATAATCCAATGAATGCCACCATGTAGGGGTCTTGAGGCCCTGTAGGGCAGAACTCTGTGTGGGGGTCTAGTGCTGGAGGCCCTACAGGGCAGAGTTCCACTGTGTAGGGGTCTGGTAATAGAGGCCCTAAATGGTAGAAATCTGGAATATTCCGGGGAAAGAAAAAAACAAAACAAAAAAACCAAACAAAAAAAAATGCTAGGAGTTTCAGGCTTTGGAAAGGAGCCCTCATTCAGTGAATTCTCGGGGATTTCCTATGATTATAGGCCCTTCTAGTACTGATGCAATTAGCTTCACATTTTCAGGCTTTCTCCACTCATTCTAATCCAGGAAGCTGGTGTTCATGCCCCTGTGGAGGCTGATGAGTTAGGCCGGGACAGGAGTAGTTTAGACAACTTATATGAATTCTGTTCCATTCTGCCAGGAGAAAGTGTTGCACCTGTTTGGTTTAGAGGATAAGAAGGAACAGAAGAGATCCAGAGTGGGAGCAAAGAAGGAGTCAGACAGGAAGAGAAAACCCACTCCAAATATCTTGCCTTCCAATGCTGACATATCCACCCAGGCTGTCAGTCTTTCCAACCTCCCCTCCACCACAAAATCTCTAGCTCTTTAACAATTGGAAACCACAGACAATCTGCTATTTAATCCCACTCATTCTGGTTGAAAATATGTCTGGAATTCAGTCCTTTCTTTACATTTCCAAGGCCCACTGCCCAAGGTCAGCCATTTATCTCTTATCTCAGCTTCTACCACAATCTCACAGATCCCCTCTGTCTTATCTTTCTACCTATCTCATTCATCACTCACAAGGCTACTGGATCCTTAGAGAAAATGACTGTATTTTATTTATTAATCCTCATCCCATCCTCTATGTCTAGGCACTAAAATATCTGTTTAAATGATTGCAGGCATGTCAACTTTCATTTGGAAAATCTTTGATGATGCCTACTGGTTTCAGAAAAAGATCCAAATCTTCAAGACTGTGAAGCAGGCCACTCCCTAGCATCTCTAAGCCTACTGGGGCATCATAGTCTGTAGATGCCATGCTCTTCCCTGGGAAAATGCGCTTCCCTCCAGGTTACTTAGGAAACACCATCATCCATTCAGGTTCATTCCTCCCCACCATGGATTTTCTCTAGCACTGAGTTCAAGCTCATTGTTTTCATTTTCTGTGACTCCAGAGAACTTTCTTTATACTTCTGTTTTGACATTTATATATCTGTCTCATCTTACTAAATTTTGTGTAGACAGCCATTACTCTTATTTCCTGATTGTAAACAAAGGTCATTGTATTTCAATATGAGGTTTTCTTCTCTGCCTCTCCACACAATTTGCTCTCTAGATTCTATGTACGTATCAAGCAAACAATATTCAATGCATGCTCCATAAATATTTTTGAATAAATAAACAATCTCCCAAAGGGCTAAATGTTGTTCAAGAACAGGCACCTACCAAACTCACTTATATTTCTTACAGTGGCTAGGAAAAAAAAAAAAAAAAAAACCAGAGTAATAGAAACTGCTGTAGCTTGAATAAAATATTAGGCTTAGACTCTGGTCTCTTGGGTTACCACATCTTTAGGTAAACCTAGGGCAATTTGTCATTTCTTCATTCCAATAATATTTATCGAGTATCTTATGTATGCTACAACTTACTATAAACGAGATAAATCACATACATATCCAAGTGGAAGAAAACAACTCTATATGCTAATAAATTAATCTTCTTCCGAAGTTTTTCTCTATCCTCAGTGAAACAGGCAGATAATCAGTGGCTCCTCCATATACCTTACTTCAAGGATTCTGCGACAAAATTGAACTAGATACGATCTGAGAAGGAAGAAGAGGACAGTGTAGTGACAGTTACTGTTTCCTCCACTTTAAGTAAGTGCTTAGTCCCCCTCAAGCTACTTTTTCTGTCACCTTTGAGAACAACTAAAACTGTTTACTAACTGTTCTCTCCACCTTCCTCTTTCCCATCCATAAAATTCCTCTTCAGTACTAAGAGGCAACTTTCTTTAAAAAGCAATGATGCGAAATATAGAACCCAAATTCTTCTAATACCATGAAAACAGAAAGAGGACTGTGGGAAGAGCAAAGGGAGCAGTTGGCATTGAGTCAGGAACACAACAGGGGATGACAGTGAGGTGAATGTGATGACGGACATTATGTACATGTACGGAAACTTCATAATGGAAGCCATTCATGTGGACAATCAATATATGCTGATAAGAAAGGAAAAACAAGTTATCTAACAAAATCGATTATATTGGAAATTTTTTAAAGAAATGATCTTATTATATTATAATGCTACACAAAAACCTCAGTGATTTTAGACCACAGACGGTTCAGGGCAATGCTCAGACACTCAGCTTCATATTAAAGGAATCTTCCAGAAGCGATTGCCAGTGTCTTTCTGCAATCATTTCCACTGTTCTTCGTAAGAATTAGCTTTTGATTTTGGATGTCTGCACCTCTCTTCTCTTAATGTTTTTCTATCCATTTTATTCAAATTCTATGTCTAAAGGTTCAGTGGAAGGACCTTCATTCTATCTGACACTTTCCTTACATAGAAAGGTATGATGGCTTTGTGCTTTTTTTCCTCCTAAGTTTCTTTTCATGTTCTGGTCATTTATAAAAAGTATGTGTATCCAATTAGAGTATATTTAATAATTTGATAAGCATTTACTAAGCATTTACTGCCTAATATCCTAAAGACTCTAAAACATATCAGATACACAATTACTGCTCTTAAATTTTTGTTTAACGTCAATAAACTCCCAAATGAGATGTTCCTGAAATCAAAATAATCGTTTTGAAAAGATGATCACTTTAAAGAGATACGTAGGAATTGCAACAGACTGTTGTTTTCATATTTAAACTTCATTAAAAGAGATGGGACAGTTAATAGAAAATAGAACCAAATAAGAATCTCAGAAAATGTATTTAAAGTGATATAGAAATATTTATTCAATTTTGCCTAATTAAATTCATAGATGTACCTATAATTTCAAGATAGAAATTCATAAGTTGACATATGCTGATTAAATCCATGATCTGGAAAACTACAGTGTCAAAAGGTACTGAAGTAACAGTTACAGGGAAAATGGATGAAAGATAACAGAAAGGGGTCTCAGAAAATTGTTTCCAAGGCAGCACTTCATAATTTTGTGACATTTAATAAAAATTTGTGTGATTCTTTCCCCCTTTTCTTTCCTAAAGAAACAATTTAGAAGTTGACTGACACCATTTTGATGGGTCCATATTGACATTTCTTTACTTTAGATGTTTTCTAAAAATATACTTAGATCATCTCCAGTTATACAAGGAAGAAAAAGGTGATTATGTAGAGGCCATCATATTCTTGATGATAGACTCCAGAAAGAAAACACAAACAAACATCAATTTTAAATGCCTTTTGGAAAGAGTTAGAATAATAGCATTTACATAATTTGTTGGTAACCCTGGATTTTTTATTACTGAATTTCAATGTTCCCTCGAGGCAAAGCGGCAGCTACTTAAGAGATTCATTCGATAGTGGAATGTTTAATTTCTTTTTTTTCCTTTCCCACTGTGGGTAGGTCTAGTTGTCATTCTACCACCATGTACTGTGTTTTGAATTTTGAATTGGCTCATTGCTAAGAAGTTTTAAAGGATAATGATTCTATTCTGGCAGACTAAACAAATAAACCAATAGTAGCAACAACTAAATAGACACAAATAAATTATAAAATTATATGACATTATAACAGAGCAGTCCACTCAGACATCAGTTATCTTTGATAATAAAACCTGCCACCGCATAGTATAACGTCTGACTGATATCAAATGTCTAGAACGTCTACTTACCTGCCTATCCACTTCCGGGAGCAAAAGCAGGAGATATTGCTGAAAAGGCTGGGGTAAGGAAGCAAACGTATGTTTATTTATTAATGCCCTCAAGTTAGTGTTGACAAGAATAGATCCTGGGGTTTCTATGTCAATGTCCTCAGCTTTGGTCCATTTCAAGTGTCCTGTGATGAACAAGCAAGAGGTATGAATTTACTACAGAATGAGGAAAATGCCCACATGAACACATGTACATGTACATATCGAACATATATATTCCCCAATATTTAAATAATTTAAAAATTATTTTCAGAAAAGAAACCAGAAAAAAGTCCTGTTAATAAGGTTTTTGTCTGTCCTTAGTTATAGTTCAGTATCTATTTCACGTACTTATTTATTTGACTCAAAATAGCACCAGGTCCTAATAAAGAAGCATTTTACTTATGAACTTCTTTTTTGTTTGTTTTTGTGTTTCTCAAAGACAGAGTCTCATACTGTAGTTCAAGCATGCCTCGAACTCACTATGAACTCGAACTGGACTTGAACTTGTGAAGTCCTCATGTCTCAGTCTTCAAGTACAGAGAGCACAGGTTAATCATGAACTGTGAACTGATCAAAATTTTAGAGACATTTGGAAGCACAAATGAATAAAAATTCAAGTTCCATAAGAGTAAAATTTAATATTAACAACAGTGTTGTTAATTTAATTTCCTCTAGTGCTGGGCATTGAATCTGGTCTTAAGCATGCTCAGTGAGTGCCCTATTGCTAAGATTTTACCCCAGCTCAGGTCTGATGATTTTAATACGCAGGTGATGGCAATAACTATTGTGTCTTCCCATGTTTCAGGAAGTGCACTAAATATGGATTACTTCAGAAGATTCCTGCTCAAGGTAATTTTGAAGATGATAATTTAAGAAGCATATCCTGATAAAGATACTGGCAACAAGATCTGGAGGGCAACTGTACGTTTCCAGGTAACTCTACAATTCAAGGCACACCGGTGTGCAATGGAGTCTGCATACAGAGCTCATAATTGAAAATCACAACTGATGAGGAAACTATCCACCAGAAGGGGCAGTCAGCGGTATGCTGAACAGAAGAATGCCTACTGTACAGTACTTGAGCTAACAGAAGTATTGGACGAGGGTTATACAGAGTATGCCTTGAATCAGAGGTCAATGAATTACGGTCTTTGAACTCCTCCAGTCGAACGCCTGTTTCGCTAAAGAGAGTCCCGCTAGAATACAGGCGTTCCTGGTGGTGTTGATGCTGTCTCCCTCTACATTTGCAATACGATGCACAGTAGAAGGGCTGTGACACAGCAGCAGGACTGTGACACAGCTCAAACACACTGTAAGATCTCTACTATGTATTTGCTGGTCCTTAGCAGAAAAAATCATGTTGATCTTTGTTATAAATAATTAAGCATAAATGAAAGAATAAAAATAAGAAAAAAATAGTTGTTAACAATAAACAGATCTTCTAGAATAAAATTTCCTTTGTAGAAATTAAAAAAGAATTGAGTGCAAACAACAAAGGAAAGAATTATTAAATAATCACGATATAAAGTGAGCTGCATTGATGTATGTGTATAAAGATAAGTATTTAGACAGCAGTTTAAGACTAAGTCCACTCAGCAGAATAAGGTAATAGCCTCTTCTTTAGGGCCACAGTCTATCAGCCACTGACTGTCGGTGCACGTTCAGTACCAGCGTGAGTTCTACCTTGTGATGGAAGAGCTTAGATCTATTGGCAACTGAGGGAGGACGTATGTCAGTTTTCTTCAGAAATGTGACCCTCGATAGGCAGCCAATGGTCCAGTGTGTTGTTGCACACCCACACACACATTGGCAGCCCTAAGTGGATTTACTGAGTTCATAAAAGGGTGCATGAAGTTGAAAGGGAAAAGTGTAGTTAGGGGATATGGGAAGAGTTGGAGTACAGGGAGCATTTGATCAAAATACATTATATGTATGTGTGAAATTCTCAGACGAATGACAAAATAAACACAGGGTTATCCATCAATGATAGGTTTCCTAGTGGAAAAGGAAGGGACTGACAGGGCAACAAGACTTGAATAATTACTGGTTACATATTTTAATATAAGAGCTATTAACTAAAGCAACACACCAAATCTCAAGGAAGATATGTGCCCATACCTATTTCCATCTGAGTTGAAATCTAATTATCAGAACTAAAAAATGCTTTAAAACAATTTTTCACACGAAATAATTTTCACAAATGGCAATGAGATGAACAGAAGCTTTTTCTTTTTCAATTTTAAAAAATATTTTATTATTTCAATTTATGTGTATGAGTATATTGCCTATGTGTGTAAGTGTACCCACGTGGTACAAAGCCCATGGAGGTCAGAGGATGGTGTCAGATCCTCTGGAATTGGAGTTATGGATGGTTGTATGCCGCCATGTGGGTGCTGGGAATCAAACAAGGGTTCTCTGTAAGAGCATCTAGTGCTCTTAATCACTGAGCCATCTCTCCAGCCCCAAATGGAAACTTTATCAATAAATAACAGAAGAGAGTGCACTATCTTCAAAGGACCAAGATGAAGTAGATATCAATTCAGAATTCTGTTCGTCACTATGTCCTTTACAGTAGTAAGCCTCTCAGAACATTTTTTGTATCCAAAATGGGAATTCTATTCCTCAAAAAATCCTTCTGAAACAGCTACCACTGGGTGTTTTAAACAAATAAATTCCATCTGGGGGAAATCAAATAGTTGTAGAAACAATGTAAACCAAAAGACAAATAAATGTGAGTTGTTCTCTAGAAACATTAATTATAAAAAAAACAAAACAAAATAAAACACCAGTGACTAACAGGAGTTGAAACAAAGTGGAAATAAATTATGAAGAATAGAAGGTGTATCTAAAATGCGAATATTTATAAAACATTGGTATTGAGAGGAAGTGTTTTGTTAAAATTCCACAGGAAGCCTTGGAAGATTAGAAAAAGAATAATCATTTCCAAATAAATGGACAGAATGAAAATCTGACCAATTAAAAAGTGGACGTTAAGGAAGGTGAAATTAAAAAAAAAAAATTAAAATTAAGGCCGACGCAGTCTCAACAAACTAATGGAATTTTCATATTAGTTTTAGAATGTAAAATTCCAGTTATACACTACTTTCAAGAGATACTTAAAATAAGAATCACTCGGAAAGAATAAAAGTTAAGAGATACGCCAAATTTACCATGAAGAGATTAAAAACGACAAAATGGCAACTCCACACTGTTGACAAGGCCAAGATAAAACAAATCTTGACACATTGCTGGGAATGAGTCTGACCACTCCTTACAAGTGTATGAAATCATTCACCAGAAGCAAAATAATCCCCGGCCCTGCTGCTGTATAAACAGGACAGCCTCAAAAGGTAAAACGGAGAACTTAGGAATTGGCATTGCAATGGCAGAGTAGAAGGGAGCCTCGATACCCCTACTAAACATGGAAAGATGAAATTTTAAAAGTATTCTAAGAATACTTTATACTTTAACAAGTCACTAGTCTTCTTTTAAAAAATCTTTTAATTGAATTTTATGCATTTCATACAATGTATCTTAATGATATTTAGACCCCCCCCCATCTGTACCCCTTATAGGCTCCTCACTGGATTTCATGCATTCTGTCATATATGCTAAGGCCGATCGAGTCAAGTTTGTGGCCCCAGATGTCCTTTGCTGTGAGTCAATCCAGTGGTGTCTGGTCAGCCTATCTAGCATCACTCCCTTAAAGAAGACCTACTCTCCCTCACCCAGCAGTGATCAGCTGCCAACAGTCCCTCAGCTAACGTTGCAGCTTCTTACCATTTCCCCAAGTATCTACTTTTGATGTAATGAATTTGCCATAGGGCACCATGCTAAGCCATTAGATGCAAGCATTATGTTTATCACCCGAGGAAAGGAGAGCATCTCCCACCACTCTGCTCACATCTACCATATGTCTGGGCATTCTAACGTCTTGAAGCCATCAGAGAAAAATAATGCCAGTATTTGTAAAATGTTGCTCAACTGATTTAAAACTAAACTGCATATTTTAGAGTAGGAGAAATAGACAGAACGTGCAGGAGCTATGTGCTCAAAATTATAAATCAATTATAGAATAAAAAAAATCAAGAAAGGACTAAATAATATAAAAATAAGAGTAGATATTCATGCAGTAGGAAACAATAATGTTGACTACCAATAGATAAAGGTGTTTTTCTTTTAAAAAGCTAAGATAATGAAATTCAATTTTCCTGGGAAGAAACTGCATGAACATGAACAACAATGAGAAGCCCGGGCACAGGACAGGCTGTTGGGGAGAGAGTATTAAAGACAAATTTTAAAATGAGTAATATAATACTGTAATTTTTCCAGTGTCTGTGAAGACAGATAAACTATTTTTATTGTGTGTGTATGGGTATGAGGGGATGTGCATGTGTGTGAATGCACACGCACATGTGTATGCATCTGTATGGAGTCTTCTGCTGTTTTCCACCATGTATGTATGAGACAGGGTCTCTCACTGAACCTGGGGATCACCAATTGGTGATTCTTGGTGGCAATGAGCCCCCGTGATCCTTCTGGGAGTTGTGATCACAAACCTCTACACTCAGCTTTTTACATGGGTGTTGGAGATCAAACCGAGGTCCTCAAGCTTGCAAAAGAAGTACTTTACCTACTCAGTCATATCCCCAACCTCTAAAATATTTTAAGTTTGCAAATTTCCAAATTTAACTATGAAATAAAAAACATAAAATCAAGCTTTAAAAAATGTATCACTAGTGTTCCCTTCACAAACATGAAACACAAATTATAAATGGTTTTAGTAATTAACTTGATGTGGGTAGAGACCTTCACCTTTTGCTTGTATTTTCTTACTGTTTCATTCAGCAAACTCCAGAGAAAAGACAATTAATGGAGGAAGTTCAGCTGAGGTTATAAAGTCACACAGCCTTTATTTCCAAGGAAGGGTAGATAAAGCCAACGAGAGAGATTTATTTAAACTTACAAACACAAAAATGTATGCACTTTTTTTTAATCTATCATTTTTGAGTCAAGTTGGCAGGTACTGGTGTCTGTTTCATCAGTATCTACTTCTTTATCGAATTATTGGACTATTTCACAACTTACTCTATAGGGAGAAAAGAATAAAGAACAACGTTCTTTTTTCAGTAATAAATGCAGA